TATTCAATCGTGGAATTAACTCTTATCCGGGTAACCAGAATCGATATAACTCCATTCTTGCAAATGAACCTCTTTCTTTTCCGCGAAACAGATAACTGTTCTTCTTCGTTTAAAAATGTTTTTTTAAAACATGCTACATTATTTTCCTACGCTTCAAAATTATGAAGAATCAAAGTTACAATGTTTAAATTAAAGCTAATAGAGTATGAATTTCAAAAAAATAAAAACAAAATAGATCTGTTAAATAGACATGCTTATTTCATATAATAATTATCATTGACAAATTATTCTTGTAATTATTCTTAAAATTTCTTTTCTTTCTGATTTTCTGATTTATTTCTCATATCATAATAAATTTCTGATTTAGTCATCATACCATAATAAAAATAAAATTTGCAATTAGATTCAATAATCTAAATAAACCTTTAATGCAATAACATGGTAAGCCACAAAGTAAAAGCAATATAAGAATCTTAAAATTTAAAGAATTTGTAGATTCAATGATTCCTTCGCCCAATTAAAAACCTTCGCGATTTTTAATGACAATACAATTAAAGAATAATGCCAAAAGTTGCAACAAATGTACATGCAAAAGTTGCTCTATGTGGATTACAACGCTATCGCGACAAATCCTTTAATCATTTGAAATATTGCTACGTGCAAGTTCTACAGACATTTTGGGATTTCTATAGCAAAATTATTTGCATTACAAAATCAGATTATCCGAATGAGTGTTAAAATGTACGGGGAAAAAAAAAAAAAGAGAGAGAAAGCTTCCAGTAGGAAAAATGTCGCTTGGCACGGGCCGAACTTATCACGACGATTGGAGCAGCGCATTATCAGTGACAACACTCAAAAGCGGATGGCTGCGTTCTCGCAGGTCGCCCAATTTTTTCGGAGCACAATTGATTCAGATCATTCCTTTGAATACTCCCCTAAAATTCTATTTCCGTGTTTAATAAGTGGTTCGCTAGAAGAAGTCTCCTCACGGTTCGTTTATTGGATCCCACAGAGTATGGTCATCAAGGAGCCGCGTGGCTCGGCTTCAGAACAAATGTCGTGACGCCGCGCTCGCGCGCGCGCGCCGTGAGTTTGGATGAGTCGATCGTAGATGCGGGCGAACGAACGAACGAGAGAGCGGTCTCGTCGCGGTCGTGAGAACGCCGAGCCGCCATATATACGTCCGGGCTTCGTGGAAGCAGCGCCCACCTGTCTGCTTCACGAACAACCATGAGGGATTTCGCACTTTTCGCACTCTTCCGAGAGAGGATTTCTTCGATCTTCCCAGTTGCCCCTCTTCTGAGAGGTTCGATCCACCTCGGACAATTCCTCTTCCGAAGAAGAAGTTGGACCGTCGTCGAGCCATTCCGTCCACCATCGCAGAGATCTACGGTGGTACCTTCTCGATGGCTATCAGGAAACGAATTCCATCTCCTTTCAGTCATTCTACAAAGATTCTATCGACTCTCAACCATTTCTTTTCCGATAGATCGTATTTTTAACTTTCCTCTGAGAGACGTCTTCAAACTTCTCTAAACGATTTCTCTCAGTTCCTGCGAGCTGTCTCTCTTTTCCGAGACAGCTTTCTCGCTATCTTTGAGCCGTCCCATTCGATCTATCTCTCTTAGCTAATGGAGTACTACCTCCTTCTCTCATACAACACTTCAGACCATTTTCTTCTGAACCGTTTCTCTCACGAAACGATTCACAGAGCCCCGACGAGACGATCCTTCTTTCAAAGAAATTTCTCAATATCGAATTATCGAGTGTAAAGCTTCTGCGAAAATCGCGCGCGCATGGTTCCTCGCAAAACATACCGATTTACTTCCAAGCCCTTTGATATGTATGCGCGTCGGAGGTCGCTGGTCTCCGAGTTATTTACAGGAGTCTCCAAAATTGGAACGCGGCGCGTACGGGTCACCCGTCTCTTCCCCGCGAGACGCCGGGAAAATCGTGACCAGCCGGCCGTGAAGGATTTTCTGGGACTTCAACAGTACCGACGCTTACTCTGCCGCGACGTTCCCTCCGACGTGTCGTTGCACTTATATACCCCACCTCTTGCTGGATGCCGAGTGCCCGTGTCCGACCCACGTTGACAACGTGTCTCTCTAGTGGGACACGGTACTATTAGGCATCGAGTTACACATCGTATCCCGGCGAAAACTTTTCCAAGCCTTCGACCGCGACGGGATGAAGACTCCGAGAGTGACGTGTCCAAGAATATACGCGACCCTTTCCGTACCCGGTGGACCGAGAGCCGCGGAACGACCGGTCGTCTCTTTACCGTCCGTCAAGTTCGATCGAAAATAAACGCCATCGCGACGAAAGGGAAGTGGAACATTCCCGATTACTCTTCTCGTCCTCGGAGAGTCCATCCTCGGCCGATCTCGCGTGCGTTCGTCTCACCCACCACGTATGGGCCCCGCCATATCAGTAGGGCCAGAAGGTGGGCAATGGGGGTGGGGGCGGTGGCGGTACGGTCGGATAGAGAGTTGGGGTGGCTATCAGGAGACAAGTGGGTGGTGGTAGGGGTGGCGGTACTGGTGGCGGCGGCGGTAGGACTGGGGACAGCGTTATCGCTGCGGCTGCTGGGTGCAGGGCCGTGCCCGCCGTCGCGGGGGCACACAACGGGTGCAGGGCGGCGAGTGAGGGGCGCTGGCGCTGACGCTGACGCTGCTGGCCCTGGACCTCGCCGTTCTATTCCGAGTCCTGCTGCATTTTGACGTGGCCATTACCAGCGGAATTGCTCGATGCGCTGCCGCTGTTGGGTGGGAAGCTTGTGGGTATGGTACGAGACGATGAGAAACAGAGCTTCATGATGTAAGGGAACTTGCCGTCTGCAACAGACAAGCGTGGCGAGGGGACCGCCTTGTAATATTTCGCCGCTAAACTTGCTAGCGAAGGGACTGTCTGGTCGACGAGATCACCCGTGTCAAACAGCGTTCCTCAAGTTCCTCGACAACTTTGACAACTTTCACTGTCCAACAAGATCATTGGGAGAATCTAAAGTTTTAAATGAGTTCTCGATCTATATTCCGAGCCTGATCGTTGATTACGATTGTCTTATGACATAGCAACTACAATTTATCTTTTTATTCGAATGTAAAGCAAAATGTAGTAATAGAAGTTGCGATACGAGAAAAAAATTTAGTTTGAGAAAATTTAGATTTTTAAAATTCTCTTTGCAAAAACTGTATCTATATAAATTTTTTTTAAATTAATTCATTAATTCGTTTGAATTTCGAATGTGTTTCCTAAAATCGGATACGAGACAATTCGTGTAAGAATTGAGGCAATGCATGAGATGAGATTAACAAAAGATTAATTGAAGAGTTGTAGATTGTGAATAAAGTACAAATCGATATAATTCATTTCAGAAACCATAAACACATTCATATACAAGAAATTTTTTTTTACGACTGGATATTTATCCGATTGATCTTCACCTTTACTGGTCGACATATAACAATGGTTCATCTCTCGTTACCTCTCAATATAAAATGGATCAAAGATTTTGAAGTTCGGAAAGCATAAACTAGATAGATCTCGCTGTAGCCAGAGATAAAACCGTAAATCCGAACGAGGAAAGTGAAATCCGAATCCAAGTCGGACGAATAGGCGATAAAGTTGTGCCGGCCAACCGTGGAATATTATAATCGCATAAAATCCTCCTCCACGGCCGTTTGAGAAACGCTACGCGAGAGAAATCTCAGCTTTACGATCGTACGCGTGTGTAAGGATACTCACTGCTGTTCTCGAGCGCTGTGTGATTGCACTCCATGATTGCGGCCACCGCGATACCGACGCTGCTGAATTCGATCAAGCCGGATGACGATCGTTCAGATTTAAGGGGAAACAGCTTGACCGTCGTCGGTGCCTCGATGCCGCGCTCCACGAATACGCGATTCACCGTCTCTTCAGTCAGATCCGGCGGGGTGTTGAAGAAATGGACTATCTTCGATGGTGGTTGTATTCTGTTCTTATTGGCCATTGCGGGATTCAGGAATCTGCAATGATACATTGAAAAGCGAGCGCTGTAGTAGATTTCGATTGAAAAAAGTGGATTCCGCTGATTAGCTATGTAACACATTCTGCATTCGTTTATTTTATCTTTAATTATATCTTGCGTCATGAATAAAATAAAAATAAAACGATATATACATCAAAAATAATTTAAGAATTTACAAAGAGATAGAAGAACAGAAGTTATATTTTTTCTTCAATTTTTACGCTTGATATATATATATATGTGTGTGTGTGTGTGTGTGTGTGTGTGTGTGTGTGTGTGTGTGTGTGTGTGTACGTGTATAAATCCAGATTTAAAAGCAAGCAGATAGCTAGATGTTTCATCATCTTGAAACACAAAGAAGTGATATTGGGAGAAAATCAAAGAATATCCTAACATTTCTCTTTACTTCTTCTCTCTTCACAGACAGCTTTGATGAAGCCTCGGGGAGAATATACTTGTTCCAAGTATGGAATTGCTCTCTTTCACGTTCCGTGCGGTACCGTTTTATTCTCAACAAAAATGTCAGCTTACATCCCGGTCTCTCAATTACGCGAACGCGAAAGCGGATTTCCACGGAAGAGGAGGGAAACATCCTCGTAGAACGTTTCTGGCGTGCAGTTTGTCTTTCGCGAGCGTTGGGGAACTTCTTGTGATTGACTTTTCGCAATCAGAGCTCACGCTCGCTCGTGCTCAAGGAGGAGACCCGTTCCCTGCGGGCGATTAAGTTTTTCGTCGGTGCAAAACCGTTCGTTCCTGCCGAAAGAGCGCTTTTTATTCTACTCTCGCCCCTTAAAAACACGCGGCAGCGTGTATTTCTTCGCTTTGTTAAATTATTCGTTTTAATGAATTGCTCTGCCGCGAGACATCCTTAAGCGAAATTTAAATTGGCTCTTTCAGAATCGCATTAAATGAATGAGGCGCCAGGACTTAACGTCAAAAGTCAAAAGGGGAGAATTTTAGAAAGGAAAAGAGAAGATGAATTCACAGGGAAACTTCGAAAATTTTCATTTAAATAAATCGCTTGCGCTAGCGCGTTCGCCACTGTGATGCTCCATTGTCGAGTAATTATCATCCCTGGACAATGAGTATCAGGCGAGAGAGCGTTTTCTCACAAACCCAGCTGTTAATTAATTAATCCAGTTTTGTTACATAGCTTTGGTTGGTTTATACTGTCCTCGGAATTTTGTTCGTGTATATATATATATATATATATATATATATATATATATATACACAAGAGAAATTGAATTTTTTTCTCCCCGACCATGTGATTTTTATCGCGTGGTAAAAAGGCTCGCGGAGACAATTCACTTTTCGCAATCCATGGCAGCAAACAATCGAACGAAAACTGGAATTTAATCGGCGAGCCGGATATCATTAGGCATGCCCTTTCGAATGACCGTGAGGCAGGCGCTGGTCCAAACACGAAATCGCGGTGGTGTCGTTAGCTCCTATTCAACCTCTAGATTTGATTCTTCCGCTCGAGCGCGTCCGCTTCCCGGAGCGTGACCAGACAAGGCCGCGTGACTCGAACAGGGCGGGGAGGGGAGGAGATCTCGGAGATTTTCAACGTTCTCCGGAGCGAAGGGAGATTTAAATCACGCTCGTTTATGTGTCCTCATTTAATTAGTCTCCCGAGTTTAATCTCTCGCCGAGTGCCGTCGCAATTTGCCGGATCGCGCCATACGCGTCCCGCGTTGTGCGTTCGCTTCCCCTAAGATCCGAGAAACGATGATGAGAATAAATCGACACAGCGGAGAAACCGCGTTATCGAGACGCCCGTACTTTCCGCAGATCGATGACTTCGATGCAAAGGGTCGTCGCGTCGATTTATTATAAGTCTATCGATACATTCGGCAGGAATCTAATCCCGCAAGGAAGGAAAAAAGATATTCCGATACATTTCACCATTATCGGTTGTAATATATAACGAAAGAAGTGGGCAATTTTTTTTTAAACAATTGATTAAATAGAATCTAGGAATTGATAAATTAGTTAAGCTCGATATATGCAAATACAAGAAGAGTTAAGGTAAAAGAGTTATGGTAAAAAATTATAAGCTAATTAAAAGATTAAAAAATATAATGTTTATGTATAAACATTACATTTTTTAATCTTTTAATTATATAAATAAAATGTTGTATATAAGAAAGAAATAATGTATGTGAAGTATAATATAGTAAAACATAATCCGATAGATAAGAAAAGTCAGTAAAATTAAAATTAAAATTAAACAAAATGATATAAATGACAATACACAGTTGATATAAAATAATAAATTAGTAACGAAATGTATAATAAATATGAAACATAAAAATAATGAATTATAAGGCAAATAAGAGACCATGACTAAAATCAGAAACAAAATCATCACTGTGTAATTATATATGCGAACTATATCTGAACTGATGGAATAAAATGTAGAAATAGAACATGTCAAAAAGATAAAATGTGGCGTATAACTTCTTGTTCGTTGGACAGCGAAAATCATTAAAACAGAATTTACAAATTTATCGTGTAATTATATTATAATTACATCACAAATTTAATAAATCCTAATGTAACAATTTATAAGAAGCTTTTAGTTAAGTAGATTTCGTTATTTAAAATTATTAAAATTATTTTTTTCAAATCTACCAAAGAGTCTAGTAAAATTTTTATTTTTAAAAGTCAAACGCATGAACATATTAATTAAAATACTTAGCAATCTAATTAAGTTAAAATCAAAGATAAAAAATAAAAAATCGATACCAATTCTAGCAAGAAAAAGTAGAATTAATATAATGAAATTATATTATATGTCAAAATGTGAGGTGTTGCGGTTGTCCATAATGTCAATGTTATCAAAGTTATTGCAAGTTAGGGCGTTAAACGAAGAGAAAATAAACGTATAAACATATAAAATTTTTATTAATTACCAACCCTCGTAATAAAATTATTTCTCCTGTCTGAAATCTAGCGCGTTAAACGCGATGGATCATTTCACGCAGCACGAATTTGTCACGCGTGAGTTCGCAGATAAAATGCGCGATTAAATGGCGAGGAAAGAAACAGTCGTCGAGAAAACTCGGAGGTACACCTTCGCGACGGAAATTTATATATACTTTCCTCGCGCCTCATATAGAGCGAGAAAATATCGCGGCGCAGAGAATGGGAGAAAGATCGAGCGGGAGACAAATGGTCTTCAACGACGGAGGTGCGGGAGCTGAGCGAAAAATGACGGGAGAATAAAACACTGGGGGTTGACGCGCGCGCCTAAGTTACTTACCTGTTATTCTTGCTTCCCGTGAAGTCCTTGAAACTCGCTGTCTTGTCGGGTAAAATGTAAGGATTGGTTACGTCCGAGAGGAAGGCCTGTTTCGAGAAGCCGAGCTGCAGCCTACCGTCCGTCCCGATCGTGACGTTGTTCAGATTCTGCAGGCACCGCTCCACCGCTATGCTATCTCCCATTTGTATCATGGCGCAGCCTTCCTTCGTTTTCAGGAATTTAACCTGGCGATAAAAAAAAAAAAAAAAAAACAAGAGAGCTTGAGAACTCGTCGCTCGTCGGAAGATGGAAAGCGTACGTGCGAAACGTGCAATCCGATAAGCGCGATCGATCCCTTCGTCGGTGGTAATTTACATCGAGAAATAATCTCATCATGCAAAGTACTCGTACTACGAGACACGACGAAAGTGTAATCCTTAAAAAGAGAACTCGACGTCTACGACGTGGAAATTTGCATCGAACTTTTTTTTGTGACTCTATTTAATAAAAAATTGGCGAGAGCACATTTTTCAATGTTCAAACCGTTCCATCGTTCCTCGATGTTTGACGAAAAAGCCGCGTGTCTGATAAAGAGATCATTTATGACTCCCGACCAGCGGTAACGCGAAATTCTGTTTAAACGCACGAATATGAATTCTCGCTAAATCTTGTCGAATGTAATATAAATATCAGATATATAGTAAAATCGTGGAGTTAGTCAGTTAGTTCTCTCGTTTAAACGCAGATGTAGGTCGCCGCGTAAGGGACGTCAATGGGGCGTCCTACCCGTCTGCTAACGCGGGGAACTGCGGCGATAATTAAGTCATGCGAACCTTTTGTTCGCGTACGACCAGCTCGTTACACTTAACACTCTAAACACGCGCAACGGGCGCCGCACAAAGGTCCAGGAGAGAGAGAGAGAGCCAGCCTCGCACGGGGAGACAAAAGGACCGAAGAGGGCCACCTACCTTCGTCACGTTGCCGTACAGGCAGAACAGGTTGAAGAGCTTGTCGGTATTGACTTTGTCCGGCTGCAGTCCGTACACCATCATGACCGAGCCCTGCGTGCTGGAGGGTGGCGTTTGGCCCAGGGTGGGCACGTAGCCCGGCCGAGGTGGCGTAGGATGTAACGGCTCGCGTCCGCTGAAGTCGCTCTTGATGCCGTAACGCTCGACGTACGGCTCCGCGTACGTCGCTGGCCCGTTGAAGTTCTCCTCGTAACGATCGTGACCGGCACCCGGGGGAAAGGTGACCTGCGGCGTGGAGCCTGGAATCACAGATGCGGACACGTGAGATAAATGACGCGTGCGAGCCACCGCCGGCGGTTCTACGTTGTCGTCAATCGTGACGGATATGCGCGTTCGCCAAAATCGCTCGTGAATCGGGTTTAGAATAAGTTTTGTGTTTTTTAGAAAGATGTACAGCTTTCTTTTCATCAGTTCCGTGATAATTCTGTGATAATTCTTAATTTGTATTTATAAATACAAATTTGTATTTATAAATACAAATTTGTATTTATAAGTACCAATAATTTGTATTTATAAATTATACACTGAGAAAAAGGTTTCTTTGAATTTAACAATTCTATTTTTGTTTGACTTGAATCTATTTAATTTAAACAATATAATTTTACATTTAAACATTTTGTTGAATTAAGAGTTTTGTTGTTTCGTTTAGAGAATACCATGTTGTTTAATAGAAAAAAGATTTTTATTTAAAAAAAAATAAACTTTATCTTTGAACTAAATAATACTTTGTTTGGCTAGATATTGTTTCGATGAAAGAAAGAGATTCTTTAGTATTATTGAAGCATATAATAAAGAGCGTTTTTTTTTTTCAAACAATTTATTAAACATATTTTATTTAAAAAACCAAACAATCGAATTTGTTGAATCAAATCAATTTTTCATTGGACTAAAGTTCAAAAAATTTCCTTGAATCTAATAAAATTTATTAAAATCCCAAGAAATCGTTGTCTCTGTGTATACGAGATAGAGTATAAACTCTTCATTTTGTTATATCAAATTAATTTGAAAAGTGATGCCTTTTAAATTGTGAATATTAACTTTATTTAAATTATTATTCACCATTAAGGAATTAATTTCTGTAGTAGCAATTAAAATGGGAAATACTTTAAAAGCAACTCCGCATTACAGGATTATTTATAAATTCGTAGAATTCGAAAATTTGCTTCCGCATAAAGGAGACGAATAAAATATAGAGAGAGAGAGAGATAAAAAGCAGAGAGTAAAAAAAAATCAAAGCGAACAGTTCAGCCTTCAGTCGGAGTAATTCGAGCCGACGGCTCTATTGGAATGGTAATGCAATGCTTTGTCGGCCGTGTGTAGCCGAGTATTAAATGTTGCGACAAATGGTGTCGATTCAGAATGTCGGGGGGCTATTGGGAAAAGTGTGTTGCCGCGCGGCGGTGAGTTACGATAATGTTTTCCACTATCGGATTACAACTATCGCGCAACGAGACTCGGAGCGAGGTTTCGATTGCAGGCACAGCTACATTATAGTGCAGTTCATCGATTTCCCGTCAAAATCGCAATGGGATTGCGGTCGCAGTTGACTTACGACGACAGTTTTAGAGCTAGCTACATATCGGAGAAATTATTTTCTCGAGGTCAATATTAGGTGCTCAACAGTTTAGACGTCACGCACCAAAGATCGCTGCCTATCGCCGCTGCCACTCTTGGCTGCAACAGTTCGAAGGCCGATGCAACAGCGTCACGCGTATCGCTGTTACGTGACAGTTTCGCTCTTGCATTAAATCTACGTCACGTATTTGCGATAAGAGTTTCTTTTTCGTGACACTAAGGGATGAAAGGTTCTGAAAATAGCTTATATATTTATATTAAGAATATAGAAAAAGATGAGAAACAATTTCTGTAAAATCTGTATCAGATTCTAATTTTTACATCTTAAATTTTTCGCGAGCAAATTTTTCTGACGATTTAAATTGAAAACAATTTTTAAAATGTACGTGTAATCTTTTTTTAATATTTTCTACGCTAATTTAAAATCAATTTACTGCCAAGTTCTTCTGGAAGCTTGAAGTTTCTTCAGTGTGCAAATATCTATTGTGCACTTTACCAATAAACCTTTTCCAAACGTACCGCTTTCATATTTTATGAGAATACTTGTTTTATTTTTACAGCTAGTCGACTCGGAAGTTTTCTTAAATTTGCATATATTATATCGCACTATAAATGCTGCTTGGGTCGTAAGCGTGATCGTTCGCGATATTTCTCTGAGAAAATAATATTTCTCTGTTTGCGCTCGGTCCCTTAACATTTAAACGTCTGTTGAAATAACAAGCTCCGCGATTTAGCTCTCCCATAAAGAGATCCCGGACAAATCTCTTCAATTTAAGAAATTAAAATCCTTCCTCGCGTGGGAATTCCGGCGCAACTCCGACGCGCGTGTTTCCTGCAGAAGAGGATTTCTCCGGGATAAATAATTCTCTCACTCATGCGCGCCGCAAACAAACGCGTCCGACACACATTTTTTTCTCCTCTCGGTAACGTCGTCCGGAACGTCGCGCCGTCGTTTTCCGCACTTTCGTCGACCCCTCCGTCGATTAATCCGCTCTCATTCTTTACACGTGTCCGCGAAAAACCTGCGATCGTCCCGGCCATCTATTTTCCGAACCGGTGAGCTTAATTTGGCCATTAGGTACCGGCGAACAGACAGGACGGTTGGCCGGGACAGACGGGCAAATAGACAGGTACTCACCGTACGGTTGGGGCGCGGCGCCGTATCTTGGCTCGGCCAAAAGGGGAGCCGGCCTTCCATTTCCTGTCGCGTCGTTTTTGTGTGTGCTCGATCCTGCAACAGAACGACAGTTCGTCGATGAGACTATAATCACCTTCGACGAATACGTCGCTGTCGTCCCACGTGGGGCCGCCGAGGAGACAAACGATGCCACGAGTCAAATGTCGCCATTTATTCTGATAGTTCCGACAAATTTCCGATGGGAAATCGCCGAGTGGTCGCGCACGGAAACAGGGGGAAAAAAAATATATATAAGAGAATACGTGGAGCTTCGTATTAATATTAGTAGTATAAACCAATTCATACATATATATGTCGCAATCGTACTTCGTTTCAAAGACAATAGGCCTTGAGGACACAGGTGCTTCTGAACGCTTCTGAACGCGATTAAAGAATAACTAGATCGATTTACCAATTAACATCTAACCGTTAATGTTATTCCCTTACGTCCTAAGTACAATACAATTCACTCTGCGGAAAATCACATTTTCCGTTAATGAACGCAAATTACATTTGAGCACAATGTGTCTCGATCAAGTTTCCGACGCGAGATCGAGCCGGAATGCGTCATAGGTTTCCCGATTGTTTAGGAGAGACGTGACGAAATCCGCCTTCCGGATAATTCGCGTTCGGCTCTTCGCATACATCGCGCTCTGCGATTGGTCTATATTAAATCGCGTTACATCTACATATGCATGGCGACACGCATGGTGTTTTCGCTGGGAGATGAGCTGGGAGTTTCGGCGACGTTTCGGTAATAGAGCATATACCAAACGTGTGCGCGAGTGATATCGGGCTTGTTGCTGCAGCGGAGCAATCTATATCGGAGCCAGAAGCCTCCTCCTCTCTTTCTCTCTCTCTCTCTCTCTCTCTCCCTTCCGAACATTCGATATCGCCACGTCTGCTCTCGACGCGGTTGCAGCCATCAACCTGGCCAGAGGATGCGCGTCTTCGTTTGAAATAGAACGTCCCTCTATCGCCCGAGCCGCATCAGGGCCGCTTGATTGGCCCTCGCCGAGGAGGAAAGCAATCGCCTTAACCCTCCTTGATCCCTCCCGGATCGAGCTCCCAGATACCACTCCATTGTGGACGTACAGAATCCCGGCAGATTAATTGCTAATTAAGATCAGTATGCTAATGCCGCCGCCGTATAACTACGTGGGACGTAGCGTTGGATTTAATTGCGAGATTGAATCGCGAGATTCGAAGAGCAAAGGTGCGCGTTGTTCCGCTCCTTTGGAAGGTAGATACGCAGCAGCGTGTGCACTTTTGTTTAATAACATCATTTGACATCTGAATTATATATTTAATTATATTTCAGCGCGAAAAATAAATTATTTGGTACAAATGAATATATTTTGAAATTATGGTTATAATTATGATATATAACTCTTAATTTAATAACTCTGATAAATAAAATTAAATAAAATTATAAACGGTTATAAATGATTTATCTTGTTAAATATATATAAAATCACATAATCGATAACGTAATCAAATTACTTTAATGTAGCCAATTCCAAAATAAAGGCAACTCCAAAGTTTGAGATAGATAATAATTACGGACCACTCCGCGTAATCAACGGGCTTCCAGCAGCGTCGCGATAAAAACGTCGTTCGTTAAATTCTTCCGACGACCGTGCTTCCCCGACACTTTCGATAATTACACGACGCGCGAATTATTCAGACGGCCGGGGATAGCGGCAGCTGGCGTGTGTTTTTCAATAACGAGAGGCCGAGAGAATGGTCGTATTCCGCAACAAACTCGAGAAACAGCGCACCTGGGCTGCGCCTCGAGAGTCCATGAAGCTCGATATTGGCAATTGCAAGAGTCGTAAAGGTCCGCGGAAATTGCGATTTCGGATACCGGCGGGGAGTTACGCGGAGTTCCTCCTCGCCGTGTTTGTCTTGAGCCGTGATTCTCGAAACGACGACATGACTAACGAATTTAATTTCGTCCAGGAACCAGGGCGAACGCGAAAACACCTTATCGACAACCTGGAATTGGAGCGAATAAGACAGCTCGAATCATTTATGATCCTGTGCGACTTATCCGAATGAAGAATGTTTCGTACTCCTTTTGCGAAAAAGGGACTTCTACATTTCCGCCGAGTAGATCTCGTGTAAAATTTCTCTCTTTCTCTCTCTCTCTCAGTATCCCTTGAGTGATCAGACCGAGCGACTCCGTCCGTCCGTAAATTAATAATACCACCGTAGATATCTGCCGTCAGGTAAATCAGTCCCGGCGACGAGAATTTCAATCTCCACAACAATTTCGTTGCAAGAACTAAATCACTATTCCCCATTATCTTGGAGAAGACCAAGACAGAAAAGAATGCTCCATTAAATTATCAACGTTAATGTCAAATAATTAATCTTAAATTATTCATTATACGTAATCACGCATTTTTTTTCTTAATTAAAGCCTGTCATTATAAAAAAGGTTCAAAGAATCTCTTCCTAGAATCCTATCATCCGGAGATATTGAAAGAGAAAAGAAAAGAGAAGATGAAAGTAATATCTGATCCGTCCGTCCGTGAATATGATTCGCACTAAATTCGTACTAAACGTCTCTTTTGCATGCGGGGCTTCCCTCATAAATCTCAAGATCAAATGAACGTCAAGCGATCTATCATAGCCATTGAATTAATAACACCACTGCGGATGTACGCCGTCGGATTAAACCAACGGCGGTCCAGCGCAGCGTGCGGGATTTCAATCTCCAAAACAATTTCACCGCGAGCGCCGCATCGTAAAGGTAAATGCCATTACCGGTGTAACGGCGTCTCGTCGCTCGTGGAGGGATATCCTCGTGCGATCATTACAGGCGGATATTAGAACTCGTAGGTCATCGGGCTGTTCGTCGGGATGAAATTGCAATTTTATGCCCGACGAGACGCGTGATAGGGAAATTACGATTCTTTCTTCTCCCCCTCCCCTCCCCCCCCGACATCGCTTCGCGAGAACCCTTCGCGAGAGAAACTATCGAAGATCCTCTTCTTTC